GCTGGCGAGGCCCCTGCTGCTCATCTTACTCCTACGAAAGAAGAGGAGCCGGCTACAGGCTTTTATCTGAAGGAGGAACTTGGCTTAGGACCATGCTGCTCCTGCGGGTGGTATGTTTTGCCTTGTGCTTGCTTGTGTTTTTTATCGGGTTTTGAAAGATGACAGAAGGAATTAATGATACATTTGATACATCATTCTCGTAGTATATAATTTACAATACGCACACATACATACATACATACATACATATATATATATATATATAATATATATATATATATATATATATATATATGTGTGTGTGTGTGTGTGTGTGTGTGTGTGTGTGTGTGTGTGTGTGTGTGTGTGTGTGTGTGTGTGTGAATGTATTAATCTATGTATGCATGTATGTACGAATGTTTCATGCAGATATTTCTTGTTGATATGTCTAACATTGCCATCGTAATTTCCATCATTATCACTCTCGTCAGTATTACTCTTTTATCACTAATTTTAAGGAATATGGCAATGGTGGTGATAGCCTGATGATGATTATATAAATGGAAATAATGATCTTATTACTATTATCGTTATCATTGCAATTCATCGTTATCATTACCATTATTTCTACAAATATTCGTAAAACTGCATTTCCCATGTAACGAGTGTTTCTACTGATATCAGCCACATTATAACTATAGTCTCAGCATTACAATTACAAGTGGTAGCATTCAATTAATAGTGAATTAAAAATGATTCTATATTAATTCTCATTTATATTACCGTTATCATAATTAGCATTGTGAGCAGAAACATCAGGTAGATGATAAATGTCAGTTCCTCTTTCATTTATCTACTTAACTCTCATTCTTCTACTCACCTAATTGATTGATCTACTTACCTCTTTTATTCATCTACTCCCCTAATTGATTTACCTACCTACCTCTCTCACTTATCTACTCACCTCCTTCATTAATCTACTTAGCTTTGTATCCGTGGGTGCGCTTGACTGGTTGTTTGTGTATAAACGTGAACAGAGATTATCGCGATGTTGCAGGAAATCGTATATGCTAGTGTGCAGTTGGCTTCATAGTCATCATCTGCGTATTTCTTTTGCATAAAGTAATTACATAGTGATGATGTTTATGCTATTTTGAGTTTCTTTGGGAAATAGATATATAAAAATATATGTATGCATGTATATTTACTATATTATATATATATATATATTATATTGTATATATTATATTTATATATTATATACATATACATTATATGTATTATATATATGATATATATATTTATATATATATTGTATAGTAGTAGAGAGAGAGAGAAGAGAGAGAGAGAGAGAGAAGATGAGAAGAGAGAGAGAGAGATAGAGAGAGACGAGAGAGAGAGAGAGAGAGTTGAGAAAGAAAGATAAATAGATGAAAGATACGATATATTGACAAGATATATGCAAGGAATATGGTAGAATATGTAGCACAGATGAATAGATAAAATAATAAGTTATGTACAGAGAGATAGAGTTATGTACGATAATCTAAACTGATCAATATATATAGTATATTATTATATTAATCATATATATATTGTTCTATTACTATATATTATATTATATGTCTATATATTAATTATTATATTAATATATATATTAATATCTATTTTATATACTATATGTTTTTATAATTATTATTATATATATACTTTGTATTATATTTCATATTGTTTAATTTTCTTTTATGTAATATATATAATGTTACTATATATATATATATGTGAAGTTATATTACATACATATATATATTAGGTATACTATTATATGTAATTCTATTATAGTTATATTTATTATATATATATATATATTTTATTTACTACTGTTTTAACTATATCCTACATATAAGTTAGTTTATGCTATGGTGTGGGTGGAGTGATGGAGATCAGGTATGATGCATTATGTGATGCAACTTGTAGTGGTCTAGCCTAGTCTATCGCCTATGATTGGATAGTAACAGTAAATACGAGGTGTAGATGAGAGAATATGATAATACAAGTGAATTATATATTTCATTTAGAAATAATTGTCAATTCATAACATAATTACCATACTGTATATTATCACAACATAACCAGGAACCACATCGGCAACTCTTTTGGCGTATGAATTCATCTGTTTGACCAATTGTCGCATTTAATGGATTGCCAAATACTGAACCATTAATATTTATCAAATTGCGTATCCGAATGAAGAATGCAAGCACTGGGAAAAGTAATAATTCAAATCCTTGTATATTAAACATTTGTTTGTGAAATATTGTAGGGTTAACGTCGTTGTTTTTTACTTTTTTTAAAGAATGATACAGAATTATCAAATATCACGTATATGATGTGCAAAATCAAATTGAAATATTAATTTTTGTTCAACATAGTTTACCCTCAACATACGTTTTCTCTCAAGCTGTTGAGGTTTTCTTTCTTAATATATGTTTGTCGAAGCTCATGCAGTGTACTGTATGTA